ATTGACTGGATACAGAGTAGTTACTGTCCAAAGTCATTGTGGAGCAACTCTGGCCAGTATCAATGTTACCGACCTTTACTTTGCTGATGATGTTGCTATTCTATCAGAGTCTGGAAACCCTAGTGGTGGCTCTTGATGCATTTAGCAATGAAGCAAAGCCCCTCGGGCTAGAGGTCTGCTGGACCAAGACCAAGATCCAGGACTTTGGGGGCGTGCTAGATCTTAATAGATCAGACCAGGAAGTCAATAGACAAATTGGCCTGGCAACAGAGGTCATGAAATCCAGCAAAAGTATTTGGAGATGCTTGAACGTGTGCCGAAGGACCAAGCTACTAGTCGTCAAGGCCCGGTTCGAGGCCAGGTCAGGGAGGATTGTTATATATCTATATCAATGCGCCATTACATTATTCCATGTTTCATATATATATTTATATATACACACCTGCTTATTCTGTTTATTTTATTTGAAACATAGACAATGAACTTTGCATTAACTACCAAAAATGGACCTCGGTTCATATTGAATCCAGGTGTTGATGACCCAATAATATGTAGAAGGAACTTCTAAAGATAGCTATTACTCAACTTGGACTAAGCAAGGAGTGGGAAGTCGCCTAAACGAAAATAGCTTTTAAGTGAATGAGGAAACTTTGGCTTTCTGTGGTGCTGGCATGTTTTTATTTTTTTTATTATATTAATGAAATAAATAGTTAAACTGTGAATTAATTAACACAGGTAAAATCCTCACATTTGTTCATAAGAGCAAATAAAAAAAAAAAAAATAAGTTTTAGAAATACTTTGCTTCACATGTAATATTTATTAATAGATAAGGGAAGGGAACATAAATTATAAAAGGAGAAAAATATTGGAACTTTAGAATTATGTGTTCTAGCTGAAATGACACCAGTTATATGATTACTTAATTCATGTATTTAGATGTAAAGTCAGGAGGTATTGAATTGAGAAAGTGCACCATAAATGATATGTTTTCTTCCTTTGTTTCAGGTGTGGCAAGATGGCAGAGGAACTTCTGTCCCTAAAGTGGAATAACCACCAGGCCCATTTTGTGGATATCCTTACATTCCTGCGGGAACAGGTGAGTTGGCTGACTAGTATATGTATGTATATATTTTTTTTGTGTGTGTGTGTATTTGTTACATGTATTTATTTGTGTATGTATGTATTTAATTTTACTGAAGCTCCTCCTTCCACTGTATTTATTTGAAGGATTTTTTTTTATATAATTTATTTAAAAGAAATTTTATTGGTTATTTGATGTTCTGTTCAAGGAAGTTGAAAAATGCCTCTTCCTCCTCTTCTTTCTCCTCCTTCTCCTCCTCCTCTTCTTTCTCCTCCTTCTCCTCCTCCTCTTCTTTCTCCTCCTCCTCTTCCTTCTATCTCTTCCTCCTCCTCTTCCTTCTATCTCTTCCTCCTCCTCTTCCTTCTATCTCTTCCTCCTCCTCTTCCTTCTATCTCTTCCTCCTCCTCTTCCTTCTATCTCTTCCTTCTATCTCTTCCTCCTCCTCTTCCTTCTATCTCTTCCTCCTCCTCTTCCTTCTATCTCTTCCTCCTCCTCTTCCTTCTATCTCTTCCTCCTCCTCTTCCTTCTATCTCTTCCTCCTCCTCTTCCTTCTATCTCTTCCTCCTCCTCTTCCTTCTATCTCTTCCTCCTCCTCTTCCTTCTATCTCTTCCTCCTCCTCTTCCTTCTATCTCTTCCTTCTATCTCTTCCTCCTCCTCTTCCTTCTATCTCTTCCTCCTCCTCTTCCTTCTATCTCTTCCTCCTCCTCTTCCTTCTATCTCTTCCTCCTCCTCTTCTTTCTCCTCCTCCTCCTCCTCTTCTTTCTCCTCCTCCTCCTCCTCCTCCTCCTCTTCTTTCTCCTCCTCCTCCTCCTCCTCTTCTTTCTCCTCCTCCTCCTCCTCCTCCTCCTCCTCCTCTTCTTTCTCCTCCTCCTCCTCCTCCCTCCTTCTCTTCCTCCTTCTCCTCCCTCCTTCTTCTCCCTCCTTCTCTTCCTCCTTCTCCTCCCTCCTTCTCTTCCTTCTTCTCCTCCCTCCTTCTCTTCCTTCTTCTCCTCCCTCCTTCTCTTCCTTCTTCTCCTCCCTCCTTCTCTTCCTTCTTCTCCTCCCTCCTTCTCTTCCTTCTTCTCCTCCCTCCTTCTCTTCCTTCTTCTCCTCCCTCCTTCTCTTCCTTCTTCTCCTCCCTCCTTCTCTTCCTTCTTCTCCTCCCTCCCTCCTTCTCTTCCTTCTTCTCCTCCCTCCTTCTCTTCCTTCTTCTCCTCCCTCCTTCTCTTCCTTCTTCTCCTCCCTCCTTCTCTTCCTTCTTCTCCTCCCTCCTTCTCTTCCTTCTTCTCCTCCCTCCTTCTCTTCCTTCTTCTCCTCCCTCCTTCTCTTCCTTCTTCTCCTCCCTCCTTCTCTTCCTTCTTCTCCTCCCTCCTTCTCTTCCTTCTTCTCCTCCCTCCTTCTCTTCCTTCTTCTCCTCCCTCCTTCTCTTCCTTCTTCTCCTCCCTCCTTCTCTTCCTTCTTCTCCTCCCTCCTTCTCTTCCTTCTTCTCCTCCCTCCTTCTCCTCCCTCCTTCTCTTCCTTCTCCTCCCTCCTTCTCTTCCTTCTTCTCCTCCCTCCTTCTCTTCCTTCTTCTCCTCCCTCCTTCTCTTCCTTCTTCTCCTCCCTCCTTCTCTTCCTTCTTCTCCTCCCTCCTTCTCTTCCTTCTTCTCCTCCCTCCTTCTCTTCCTTCTTCTCCTCCCTCCTTCTCTTCCTTCTTCTCCTCCCTCCTTCTCTTCCTTCTTCTCCTCCCTCCTTCTCTTCCTTCTTCTCCTCCCTCCTTCTCTTCCTTCCTCTCCTCCCTCCTCCTCTTCCTTCCTCTCCTCCCTCCTCCTCTTCCTTCCTCTCCTCCCTCCTCCTCTTCCTTCCTCTCCTCCCTCCTCCTCTTCCTTCCTCTCCTCCCTCCTCCTCTTCCTTCCTCTCCTCCCTCCTCCTCTTCCTTCCTCTCCTCCCTCCTCCTCTTCCTTCCTCTCCTCCCTCCTCCTCTTCCTTCCTCTCCTCCCTCCTCCTCTTCCTTCCTCTCCTCCCTCATTCTCTTCCTTCCTCTCCTCCCTCATTCTCTTCCTTCCTCTCCTCCCTCATTCTCTTCCTTCCTCTCCTCCCTCCTTCTCTTCCTTCCTCTCCTCCCTCCTCCTCTTCCTTCCTCTCCTCCCTCCTCCTCTTCCTTCCTCTCCTCCCTCCTCCTGCTCCTCATTTGTAATACCTGTTAATCCTCCATCACCTGCATGTACCCCCTCCCCCATCTGATAATTGTAAAACCAAATGGTCAGTCATATACTCAGTTTTTCTTCCTTCATGCCTTAGTTGTCTTTCACTCAGTTTTTCTTGTCTGTTTTTTCTTGTTCTCCCATTTTATGTTACCATAAACTTTTCTCCCCTAATGTTAATTTGCTGTATTTTCTGATTTTTTTTTTTCTATTATACCCTTTTTATGAAAGCAATTACTTTTTTATAACTGCTTCCTTCCATTTCATTCTTGTATATTATATTCCTTAATACTTTTACTTACCCTAATTGTTCCCTTCCTGTCTTTCTCTTCTCTTTGTATCTGTAAATATAGATAACAGACACTTCAAATCAGTACAAGCATGTGGAGAGACATTTAGATTTGGTTGCAGATTGCGTGTTATGTATGCCATGTTCATGGTAATTTTAGTTTATTTATTTAAGTCCCAAGGAGCCAATTACAAATCCTACATAACGTGCCTGATTTTTTAAAGGATTTTTTTTAATCTGGTATGGTCAGATAGGGCCTTTTGGTAGTGGAGTCATCTATGTGGAACAGAATACACACACACACACACACACACACACACACACACACACACACACACACACACACACACACACACACACACACACACACACAGAGTGGACAGTAAGAACCTGTGGCTGATGGGCTGAAAGTGAAATAAGCAGAATTAAGATGAGCATTTTGTCATTTCTGAAAAGCAGAGAAAAACTTAATTATGTTATTGCAGTTGTAATTCACTAATTACAATAAAAGAAGCAACTGTGAGCTGAAGAGATGTGCTATGAAATTAGTTGGGAGACTTAGTTATTAAAACTTGTTTAGCATATTTGAAAAGGGGTGAAGGGTTAACAGTAGACTGTCAGAGGTTCTATACTGTGTGTGGTAGTGTTCCCCTATTTTTTTCCAGAATAATATCAGGAATATTCTTTAGCTAATTCAGCTCTATGTGAAGAGCATTTAAAAGCCTGATTTTTAAATTTCAACTTTTTGGCTCAGGTGCCATTGTAAGCTATATTTTCAGTGACTATTGGCAAGTCAATTGGTTATCTTTTCAGTAGGTAATGCCTTAGTAAAGGAATCTCTTTTATGGAGGAATGGAAGACTGCATAGCAAGTCCAGTACAAATATTACTACAATCCATTCAATATTGAGAAATATAGATGTATGTAAAGTGAATGGAATGTGAGGTCAACCATTTTAATCATTCTCATTAATAGAACCAAACCCATTTCTGTGTAAAAGAAAAATGATTAGTTCCCCAGATCAAATTTTCTTTAATGATTTTTATGAAAATAAGCCAGTGGACACGGGGAACCAGCATAGGTGTTCAGTAATCTGTACACATTATATTTGCAAATAATTGAATAAAAATCATCTGACTTCTTGGGTGGGCTTGGTTATCTATGTATTTATGGTACCTCCATCTATGGTACCATCCACAGGTTTAACTCTAAAAAAAATCATGCATAAGGGCAGATATCGTTTTGTACTATCATCTTCAGCCTAAAATAATCAATGTCTCATATATTACTGAAGTTCAGAAGCCTGTAGTTGAGATACCCTTTGTATTGAAGTGCTCTTTATAATGAAAACAGCTAATTTCAAATCATAACAAAATTGATGGTGGTGGATATCACCGACCATTAGAGTGAAGCCAAACCGAAATATTGTTATTATTATTTATACTTTTATTTTATAACCTTAGTACTTCATTCTTGGTATGCTTACAGAACCCTTCATAAGCTATAGCATATTACTGGGAAGTCTTGATAGAATACATATTTCATGTGTAAATGTCCATAAATCTTACATTTTAAAAGAAAAATCTCAAAATATTTCAGCACAATGTTGTTGTTGTTTTTTTTTTTTACTGATATTGCTATAGATTTGTTCTTTGGACTCTAACAAACTCATGTTTATGCACAATGTCATTATCAAATGCTGTTAGACTGTAGTAAACAAAAGTCCATACAGATTTACCTGGCACTAATTACCTTCATAATAGTTTTGAAGGGGTTTTGAGGTCCTTAAGGCCAAATTAACTTTTTTTTTTTTTCCCCAAAGCCATTTTTTTAAATACAATTTTCAATAAATCTGTTCACTGTCATCATTGAAACATGGCATAAAATTCAACAAAATGTCATATAAATAATAAGTAATATATTCATGTGGTTAAAGGATAAAAAATCCAAGAGAAACCAGGAAACTGCTATAATATATGGTGTTTTATTTGTGGGAATGATGAAGTGAGTGAAACATAGGGTTTGACTGGAAATGATATACAATACTCTACCATACTTAAATTTTACACTATTTCATGTGCAACAAAGTTGCAAGAGAAGTATTATTTGATATTTACCCATGGCAATTGGTGATGTGTTATGTTATGGTGCACCTTATGATAAAGTGGACATTTGCACAGGTGTGGAGTAATGTATATGCTTGTCCTTGCCCATCCTTACCTGACTTTACCAAAAGATTTTACCCATTGTTATTGGGCTATAGCACGGTTCAATAGTTGAGTGAGATAAGTGAGACATTAATTTTATATAGTATTAAAGCCTAGGCTTTCAAACTGTACCTCACTATAGTTTCCAGAATTAAGAAAATTGTTTGAAATATTTTTTGTCTCATGGTATAGCATAAACTTGAACATTTGCTAATAGATGATAATGATTAGAGTAAGGGAAATAAATTATTTAATTTATGATAAAGGAAGGAGGTAATTTTTATTCTAAGTGATTTTTATTATTATTATTATTATTATTATTATTATTATTATTATTATTATTATTATTTTTTTTTTTTTTTTTTTTTTTTTTTTTTTTTTTTTTTTTGTAGGAGAACATTATGATTTTTTTTACCTTTATTTTTCAAAAGGGAAAATTTAGGCTTATGAAGGATAATATAGTTGATTATCTTTATCGGATCTGAGAAATTACTCACTGGTGACATACATATTTAGATTTGGGTTTAAAATTACCATTATGTTGTTTTCCAATGTAGTTCCTGAGGCAACATTTCCATTTCAGCAAAATATATGGTTCTATTAATTAATTCAGATGCTGTAGTTTTAAGTAATATTACCCTGTTGACTTCATAGATATTTATTATTATTATTTTTTTCTTGCAGGAAATTTTTGTGGATGCCACTTTGGCCTGTGGTGGGAAGCTATATGCAGCACATAAGTTTGTTCTCAGTACCTGTAGTGACTATTTTAAACAGATGTTTACTAAGAACCCTAGTAAACATCCAATAGTGTTTATGAAAGATGTGACATCTCGTGATCTCGAAGCTCTTTTGGACTTCATGTACAATGGTGAAGTGAATGTTCCTCAGTCTAGTCTAGGATCTCTTATTAAAACTGCAGAAGGACTACAAATAAAAGGTTTAGCAGTGCCTGATGACCCTCCTGTTTCTAAAAGAGAACGGGAACGTGATAGAGAGAAAAAAGATAGTAAAACCCAACATGAACACCACAGTCCCCCAGCTAAGAGAGCGAGACCTAGAGAAAGATCGCCTCCACACTCCACTCCCTCCCAACCTCCAGCTTCCCTCCCACAATCCTCGTATACTTCGACAACACCTACAGTGCCCAGATCTCGATCCCCCCAGCCCCCTGCCCCTTCAGCTGGTGCTTCTCAAATTGGTATACCCCCTGTGGAAGCAACTCTAGATGAGGACAGTAGAACAAGTGTACAGAGTGGTGTCAGTGGACTCAGTGAACAAAATTCGAGCACAACACCTAGTCTAAGTTCTAAACAAGGCAGCAGTCAACCTGTGGGTAACACAGGAGACAATGCGTCTCAATTAGATCAGTTGCCGCCAAGTCATAGTGGAGAAGAGCCCTCGCCTGGGCCATCTGGAATCCACAAACCTCAACAGTCAAAAGAAGAGCCAGAAATGGTAAGTTAGATTTTGTCCTTTTGATAATATGGTCTTAAAATAGACACATTGCATGATTTGATTATATTTCATATGACAACCTTTTTATTTATTTATGAGAAAATAATTGAAAGTTCTTGTGCAGGAAATCAAGCAAGAAGATGTGGTGGACCTTGGAGAAGAGGATGAAGGGGACTGGGGTGTTGAAGGGGATGGGGGAGGGGGTGACTCCTCAGTTGGGTCTGAAAACCATCCCAATTTCCCCGAAGTAATGCTACCCCATACAGATGGTTCCATGCCTCCCTCAGGAGATCCAGCAATGGTGAGTGTTCCGCTAAAAGTATTCATCCCTTTCTGTGATGCTAATAGGAAGCAACAATTTCAAATCTGTCACTCATTCAAGACATGTTAACACTTGTAGTTAAAAAGTGAATTTCAGAATTTCTAAATTTATAAAATTGAGTTAAATATAATTTTTCCCATCTGAGGGGAACAATTGAAGCTTTTAGTTGTACTAAAGGTACATACTCCTATTTACCTGTATTGTCAAAGCTAGTCTCCTTAATTTTGGATTACTTTTCAAATGTGTATCAAATTGTTGCTTCCTGTCAGCATTAACTGATTCCTCCTTATCATGATCGTTGTGCTTCTTTGTATTAGACTATTTAATGTTTGCAATCATTTCTTCTTTACCTCAGATAAGTAGATCATTGAATAATTGAATTTATTAAAGAGATAAGAAATGATTGTAAAGCATTTCAGTTTTGATTTATTGGAAGCACAAGGATTTTTATCAAAAAGAAAATCTATTGGTAAATTAAATTATTATAATGAAGATGGAAAACAGACATTTTACACAGACATTCAAGTTTGAAAATCCTGCGGAGGAGTCAGTAAATTATCTGAAGCAAAACGCTCCAGTAGTAGATGTCTGTCTAAATTAAAGTTGTCCTGTTCTTGGTTCTTGCTACTGTAAATATGAAGTCATTGTAAATTATTTGATGAATTGAAATTAAACTGGAGTGTTTTGCAAGTTATACCTAAGATTGAGCTTGCTGTTTTTTTTTTATGTTAAGGGAGGAATTTCACCTTTACAGACTTATGATGAAATGGCATTATTGAAGGGTGTACATCTGAAGGCTGCACTAATTTGCTATCCTGCAAGATCAGACAGTTCTACATTTTGGAGGAATGTGTGGTTTGCTGTTATCAAGCAGCAACAAGCCTATAAATGTATAGGTGAAATTCTCCTCTTCTTATTATGAATGTAACTAGCTGGTGCAGGGAATAAGTCTTGGCATTGTGTAGAGATGGACTCAAAGGTTTTACTGTTATGAGGTTTTATCACCTCGGGACTTGGGCGAAACTTTCATTGATATATAGCGACATAAGGTAGTTAGGTAGGTTTTGCTTGGCACACTGTCTCATTTTGTTCTTGCTGTGGTGGTGAAGCTGTCATTGTGTTCGCTTCAATCAGTCTGAAAAAGACATGTGTCACTCTGGAAAGGGAAAAGCCTCAGACTGGATCAGCTGGTATGATCAGCCCCATCTTAGCACTGAGAGTGACCTGACACAAAGTTGTCTCTCTCCCTTTTCCAGTTGTTGGGCCCACTTTCCTCTGTGGCGGCATCTTCCCTCCCCCCTCTGGTCGCCCCCGCGGGCCACGTATCTCTCTCAGCATCACACCAACCTGGAACCCACTCTTTGTTTGGAGGATATGGTGGGAGATTACCCCCTTCCTCCTCTCCTTCCTCCTCCCCTCTTCAGGCTGCTGCAGCTGCTACTACCTCTGGGCCCATCTACCACCACCATCTGGGTCGTGGAAGATACCGCCAAGACAGGATCAGGGCCGAGATCAGCTTGGTCCAGGCTGAGACTGCCTCTTTGGAGTCTCTACTAGATTCTGGCATGCTTGGAACATCAGATGCATTAAAAGTTGAAGTAAAAATCAACAACAAAAAAGTAGAGGTTGCTCGCCTCCAAAAAGAGTTGGAAAGGCTAATAAGTGGGCAATTGCGTCAGAGAAAGTTTCGAGAGAAAATGAGAAAAAAAATGGCGGACAGTAGCACCTGAAACAAGCTGAAAACAAAGCTGAATTTTGTATGGGTGCACAAATTGTATATGCAAGAAGGTTGTGAAACTAATGTATGTTTATAGGCTATTGGTGATCTGGAATTAGGTTGCAAGATTCAGTTGTCTCAAATAGCATTGATAATTTCCTTCTTTGAAGTCTTGTCTTAGCTGAGATATGAGTGAATGACTTACCACTATTTTTTTTATGGGGTTGGAGATGAATAATATTAAGAAAAAAATATAGAAGCTTTTAGTGCCATTTTGTCTTACGGTGGAAAGAAGTGCTTATAGTGCATTGAACTAGTCAAATATTAAACTTTAGTTTGATTTATGTGCCAATCTGATTTTTTTTTTTGTTATCAAAAGATTTATAGAGGCATTTGTTTGCTTACTTTATGAAAAATTTATTTTATAACATTTTTATTTCTAACAAAAACTATAAACTGGTGATGGCTATAACATAAATTGATATATACGAAAATTACAAAATGCTCTAAGTAACTAGGTTTATTGACCTGTAAACCTAGCTAAATAATATGATAATGGGAAGGTGAATTGAAGATGGAGAGAATTGGTGATGGAGTGGCTAATGAAGGGGTAGTGATGGCAGTGTTCCTTCATTTGCAGAGGGCGGCCTTCAGGGCAGTAGGCGAGTTTGTGCCCATGGGCGGGCAAGGTGGTGTGGTGTCCCGGCGTGTGGGAGCGGCAGCACCCTGCCCCCCTGGGGGTTCTGCCCCTATAGCTGATCTGCCTACTTTTATTCCAAGCCCTGAGTGGCGACCTTACTCATGTCGCTTTTGCTTTAAGAAGTTCAAACGTAAGGACCACTTAAATGATCATGAGCGACTACACACTGGTGAGCGCCCATATCACTGCCAATATTGTGGCAGAGGTTTTGCCCAGAAAAGTAACTGTAAAAACCATGCCTTACGTTGCCCTGCTGGTACTAACATTTTGTGAGAAATATTTTTGTTTGAAAATTTTTATAATTATGTTGTATATGAATCTTTATTCGTTGTTATGAATAGATAAACCAAAATTCTGTTCTGTGATGAAAGGAATAAAGGCAAGGAGGTGAACACCTACTTTTAATCGACCTGAGTATGAAAGTCGATTATTATTTTCTACTTGTGGAAATGGATCATACTTTAGGAAAATTGTCCTAGGGAATGATGATGGATGACTTCCATATGTAATTCATATAATGTAAGACAAAGACATGTTTATAGCATTATTGAACATAAATTAGTTACATCATGGCTTTAGTTAAATAAGTTAAAAAGGAATTTGAATAGAATACAGAAGTAATGGCATATGAAAATGGATAAAACTTTTGGATTTTTTTTTTTTTTCACCCTGCCCCCCTGGGGGTTCTGCCCCTATAGCTGATCTGCCTACTTTTATTCCAAGCCCTGAGTGGCGACCTTACTCATGTCGCTTTTGCTTTAAGAAGTTCAAACGTAAGGACCACTTAAATGATCATGAGCGACTACACACTGGTGAGCGCCCATATCACTGCCAATATTGTGGCAGAGGTTTTGCCCAGAAAAGTAACTGTAAAAACCATGCCTTACGTTGCCCTGCTGGTACTAACATTTTGTGAGAAATATTTTTGTTTGAAAATTTTTATAATTATGTTGTATATGAATCTTTATTCGTTGTTATGAATAGATAAACCAAAATTCTGTTCTGTGATGAAAGGAATAAAGGCAAGGAGGTGAACACCTACTTTTAATCGACCTGAGTATGAAAGTCGATTATTATTTTCTACTTGTGGAAATGGATCATACTTTTGGAAAATTGTCCTAGGGAATGATGATGGATGACTTCCATATGTAATTCATATAATGTAAGACAAAGACATGTTTATAGCATTATTGAACATAAATTAGTTACATCATGGCTTTAGTTAAATAAGTTAAAAGGAATTTGAATAGAATACAGAAGTAATGGCATATGAAAATGGATAAAACTTTTGGATTTTTTTTTTTTTTTTATGGGGCTGATAATGGATGACTTGTCAAAATCCATTTGTAATTTATATAATGTAAGACACATGTTTATAATATTATTGAACATATATCATTTACATCATGGCTTTACAGAAGTGAAAAGGAAATCAAATAGAATAAGGATGTTGTGGCTGTGAATGGTAATATGTAAATCCAATAATAAGTTTTCGAAAGTATACAGTTATAAGCATAGTTTATGGAACAAAAGTTTCATGAGAAGATAAAAAAGTGTGTGAAGAATATAGCCCATTCATGTAACTTTAGTGAGGCAGTGAGTATGTAACTGGGGCTAAGAAGAATATTGAATGTGATGTGTGTGTGTGTGTGTGTGTGTGTGTGTGTGTGTGTGTGTGTGTGTGTGTGTGTGTGTGTGTGTGTGTGTGTGTGTGTGTGATTGCATTTGCAATTGCATATGTGTGTGTGTGTGTGTATGAGGGGGAAAAAGAAAACTAAAGAGAGAGAGGGTCTCGTGAGTGTGACTCATGAGTTAATGAGGGAGGGGGAGTGAGTAAAAGAGAGGGGGCTAGAAGGGAATAGAGAGGGGGAGGGGTTGTAGAATAGAATAGAGAGAAAGGGTGTGCGAGAGAGTAGATGAGAATAAAGGAGAGAGAGACAGAGGAAGAGGTAGAGGAGGAGGAAGAGGTAGAGGAGGAGGAAGAGGTAGAGGAGGAGGAAGAGGTAGAGGAGGAGGAAGAGGTAGAGGAGGAGGAAGAGGTAGAGGAGGAGGAAGAGGTAGAGAAGGAAGGCAGGAGGGAGAGGGAGGAGTGAGAGGGAGAGGGAGAGGGAGGAGTGAGAGGGAGAGGGAGGAGTGAGGAGTGAGAGGGAGAGGGAGAGGGAGGAGTGAGAGGGAGAGGGAGAGGGAGGAGTGAGAGGGAGAGGGAGAGGTAGGAGTGAGAGGGAGAGTGAGAGGGAGGAGTGAGAGGGAGAGGGAGAGGGAGGAGCTGAGAGGGAGAGGGAGAGGGAGGAGTGAGAGGGAGAGTGAGAGGAGAGTGAGAGGAGAGGAGGAGGGAGAGGGAGGAGTGAGCGGGAGAGGGAGAGGGAGAAGTGAGAGGGAGATGTGACGGCATGTTGCAGAGGGAGAGGTGAGATGGGAGGAGGGAGGAGTGAGAGGGAGCAGGGTAGGAGTGAGAGGGAGAGGGAGGAGTGAGAGGGAGAGGGGAGAGGGGAGTAGAGAGGGAGAGGGAGGAGTCGAGAGGGAGAGGGAGGAGTGAGGAGGGAGAGGGCGGAGATGAGAGGG